GTTCAAATAAGTTTTCCACTGGTGGCTGTGCCTTTCCCCCTTCTGGTACCCCTATAATTCGGATGTTGGAGCGTTTAAAGATGTCCTGGAGGTTCCTAAGACTCTCCTCATTTCTTTGAATTCTTGCTTCTTGACTCTTTTCTGTTTGGCCATTATTTGCTTTCTTCTGGTCCACTCCATTGATTTGAGTCCCAGTTTCCTTTTCATTGCTATTGGTGTCCTGTGCAATTCCATTCATTTCAATTAGTTTCGCCTTCATATATTTGTCTAATTTGTCCATATAATCAACCAGTTCTGTGAGGATCCTGATCACCAATGTTTTAAACTGTGTGTCTGTGAGTTTTGCTATTTCTTCATCGCTTAGATTTATTGGCTCTGGGGCTCTGAGATCCTCCTGCGCCATTCTTGGTCTGTTCGGGCCCTTTAAGTGTGAGAAGCGGCGCCTTGGATTCCCAGGTCGCTGGGTTGTGACGCTGTATGTGGGGGCGTGGCCAGAGCGGGGAAATGGCGACCCCCTCTGCCGCTTCTCACAGCTGGGTGCGGAGGAGCAGTGCCTTAGGTGGTTCACCTGGGCCGGGCCACTCAGAGTCTCTGGGTTATGACGCTGTATGTGGAGGTGGGGTCAGAGCAGGGAAATGGTGGCGCCCTCCACTGCCGCTTGCCGTGGGGACCTGCCGGCCCGGTCCAACCGCCTACTCCCTCGCCTGTCCACCCTCGCACAAATGTGTGACCTCAGTCAACACGCAGCCCCGGGCCCGGCTGTCTCCCCCGAGGTCGCTCGCCTGGTTGCTCGCTGGGTCGCTCACTAGGTCTGACCCTGCGCCTGGATTCCACAGGCCTGAGTGTGTCTGGCCGAGTCCTCCTGTGCAACCCTGCTCCGCCAGCCGCTGGTTTCGCCCCTTACCGGTCAGGCTGAAGAATTTGTTGTTAACGGACTTCCGAAAAGTTCAATTTTCCGTGTTCTGGCTGTGTTTTCTGTTGCTAATATTTAGTTTTCTCTAATCTTGGTTGTGTGAGAAGGCACGGCATATCCACCTATGCCTCCATCTTGGCGGAAGTCCTCCCAATTTATGCTTCTTAATCCCTGCACCTTTTTCCCCATTCTCCCTCTTCCTTTTCCCAACTGGTTACTGTCCAAGTGATCTTCAAATTTATGATTCTGTTTCTGTTTGGGTTGTTTGCTTGGTTTGTTTTTTTAGATTCGGTTGTTGATAGTTGTGAATTTATTGCCATTTTAATGTTCATAGTTTTGATCTTTTTCTTAAAGAAGTTCCTTTATCATTTCATATAATAATGATTTGGTAATGATAAACTCCTTTAGCTTTACCTTATCTTGGAAGCACTTTATCTGCCTTTCCATTCTAAATGATAGCTTTGCTGGATAGAGTAATCTAGGTTGTAGGGTATTGCTTTTCATCATTTTGAATACTTCTTGCCAGTCCCTTCTAGCCTGCAAAGTTTTATTTGAGAATCACCTGACAGTCTTATAGAAACTCCTTTGTAGATAACTATTTGCTTTTCTCTCGCTATTTTTAAGATTCTCTCTTTACCTTTATCCTTTGGCATTTTAATTATATGTGTTGGTATGTTCCTCTTTGGGTACAACTTGTTTGGGACTCTCTATGCTTCCTGAGCTTGTATGTCTATTTTCCTTCATCAAATCAGGGAAGTTTTCTTTCACCATTTTTCCAAATAAGTTTTCAATTTCTTGCTCTTCCTCTTTTCCTTCTGGCATCCCTATGATTTGGATGTTGGCATGTTTGAAGGTGTCCCAGAGGCTTCTTATTCTATCCTCATTTCTTTGAATTCTTTTTCCTTCTTGCTGTTCTAATTGAATGCTTTTATCTTTGTTATGTTCCAAATTGTTGATTTGATACTCAGTTTCATCCCCATTCCCTATACATTTTTATTTATTTCATTTTATATAACCTTCATTTCTGCCTGGGTCTTTGTTATGCTGTTGCCATATTCAGTGAGTTCTCTGAGCATCCTGATAACCGGTGTTTTGAACTCTGCATGTGTTAGTTTGTTATCTGTATTTCATTTAATTATTTTCCTGGAGTTTTGTTCTGTTCTGTCAATTGGGCCATATTTCTTTGTCTCCTCAATTTGGCAGCCTCCCTGTGTTTGTTTCTGTGTATTAGGTAGAGCTTCTTTCTTCCCTGTCTTAGTAGGGTGACCTATTGTAGAAGAGCAGACCTGTAAATTCTATGGGGTGGAGCCTTAGGTGATCGCCAGGGTGGGGCAACCCATTTCACAGCTTTGTGGCTCTGTGTTGGGAGGAGGGCCCAGAGAGGAGATAATGCCATTGCCTTGCTTCTAGAGGTTCGCTGGAGACGAAGCTGTCTCCGAGAACTTTCCCTGCTTCCAGTCTCCTTACTATCTCCCTGTATGCTACTGGTGCTCTTCCAGCTGTTGCCCTGCTGCTGAACCCCAGAGGGACTGGGTCTGTGTATATCCTAAGTCCCTGAGGACCCTTAAAATGAGTCTCCTGATAATTTGGCAGTTTCTTCTGCCACCCCAACCCCAACTGGTTTTTATAGCCAGAAGTTGTGGGGATTTATCTTCCTTGCACTGGAACCCTGGGTTGCTGGGTGGTCTGGGATCCCCTGCTCCCAAGGTATCCCTCCTGATTTTTATCTACTGCATATGAATGTGGACCTGCCCATTCCACCGCCTTTCTGCACCATTCTCTCAGGTCTGCACTTCTTGACTCTCCACATCTCTGCCTCTCCTACTCTTTTGGATAAATGTAGCTTCTTTAAATCCTTGGCTCTCGGACTTCCATATGGCTCGATTTTCTGGGTGTTGTTTGTTTTGTAGTGTAGATGTAATTTTTTTCTATAGTTGTCAAAGAGGTGAAGCCTCCATCTTGACTGTAAGTCAAAGGACATATTTTTCATTTTCACCAATAACTATGGATTTTGAGTATGTTGGCTATCTCTTGCATGGTATCACATTGATTGTTCTCAATTAATGTTTCAATTTGATCACTACTTCAGCTGTTCCACCCTACTGTGGAACATTGCCCAGGGAGAAATCTCTAGCACAAAACTTCAGTCACAGCAAATTCTCCATAAACTGCACAGATCTTTTTTCCCCCCCTTTCAGTTGCAATTTTTAACTTTCTTAAAATAATGAAGCATAATATGCCAAAACTGTTGCTTATTTTCTTCCGTCTTCAATATTAAAATGACTACACAAAAATTCACCAACTTTAATGTTTTTTTAAAAAAGCATGCTGATATGACAGTTGTCACACTACACTCTAACAAAATTGTTTGGAATATAGTTAAAGACAGCTAAGTGCTACTAGAGCCATCTTACAGAAAGAACCAAACAACATTTTTGGCCAAGCCAATATTTTATATTTGGTGTGTGTGTGTATGTGTGTACACACATATTTATTTGAAAAAGACTAAAATAGTCTCCAAAATGTTAGCAGTTTATCTCTTTGTGGCATTACCATGAACCTTTATGTTTATTAGGCTGTATAAATATCCAATGACTATGTATTATTTTTGTATTATTCCCTAACACTTTAATGAATGTTAATAAAAAAAAGGTGGTCAGAGGCATGGAACACTCCACACCAAATACAGATATAAGTCAGAGACCACCTCCAAGACTCACTGGCCCCCACTACAGTGACACTGGGGGTAAGGGGGAGGCACACTCTCGCTCAGCTGGGTCGGGGGTAAGATTCCTGCACCCTGAAGCCCACTGCTTTGTCCTTCTGGGTATGGCTCCTTGCAGGCTCAGAATAGGCAATGAGAAGTGTCCCCATCAGTGTCTAAGGTCTGTCAGACTCCAGCTGGGCTCCCATGATTACAAACTCAATACAAATGGGCTGGAAGCCATGGAGGGACAGAATCACTGCAGGTGAGGAAACTCAGCTTCTGTCTAGGTGAGCCTAGATTCATGTATCACTCGGGTGGCATGAGAGGCTCATAGTAGTACGTGGCCCTCTCTACCTTGTATTTTTCTGAGTCCCCACAGAGATGTGAAGAGCAGGAGAGAAGCACCTGGTAGGATTTTTCAAAGGGAAAAATTCTCCAGAAAACATTATCAGCCACTCTTGATTCACAAAAGAAGGTACTGGCAGGAAAGTAATATAATGAATGAAATATTATAGTATTAACAGCTAAAATTAATGGAATACTTATGAGTCAGGCACTATCCAAGCATGTACTATCCCATTTCAACCCCCCAACAGCTCCAAGAGGCAGATGCCATCATGATTCCCATTAAAGATGAGATAACCAAGGTTTAAGGCATTTAACAACTTATCTAGGATTCTTGCCCATGCAACTGCCTACACGGCAGAACTGCTAACACTGAGGGATGAGTGTCATAGACTGGGCAAGTCTATGACCTCCGGTGGGTGAGTTCCTCAAGGTGCCCCGAAGACGCGCCAAGAAATGGTGAACTTATTAGGAAGGAGAGTGGATTTAAGGGGATTTTAAGGTCTTGGCTCTATGAGTGTCATCTTCTATTCTTGAGTATTAACAAGCAACTGCATAGCCATTTTGCTGGGATATATAGTTGAAAGAATAGAGACTAAGACAAAAACCATGGCCCCACATACGGATAAGTGAATCACTTTGACCTCAATGGTTCCCATCTGTAAAATGGGTTTATGAAGCTACCTTGCAGATATGTTATAAGGATTGGGTTTATTGTGGGTAAAGTTGAGTATAGTAAGTAGGACATTGTGGGTGCTGAATAAACACAAGTATTACTATCATCTTCCTTATGCCTGGGGTTGGGTGGATGGATAGGATCTTCATTGGCCTCACGTGGACAAGCTAATGAATGATGACCGAGTAGAGAGGTTGGGGAAATAAAAGTGAACAGCGCATTTTCTCTTTGTGCTGACATTGCTTTCATAAGACTAAGTCCTTAGTAATTAATATTATATTATAAATAACCTTCAGCCTTCCTAGAAATTGATGGAGCTAGAATGGAAACCGTGTAGGAGAAAAAAATCATTTCCTCACCTCACAAAACATAGGCAACTTTTTGGCAAAATCCACCACTCTGGTAATTGCTGGTGTGATGATTTTTGTAAAATGGCTGAAGGCTTCCAAGTCCACCTTTCCACCTTCTGGGGCATTTACTATTGGTGCTTGTCCAATGTCTTCTGGCTGAGGAGGAAAGATGAGAAAGACTTCAATGAAAAAGTTGCAGAAATCTGTATTTATCCCAGTTGTCATGTGGAAGAAAAATCTCTTCTGGACTGCCAACCTGTGCAGTTTCCAGTTCCCACAGGTTACTAACAAACTGTATAGTTTTCTATTTACATCTCTAAGCTGTAATAGGCCCCCAGTGATACTGTCCACAGGATCGTTGCTGCAGAGACAGAGAGATAGAAATGAGGAATTTGGGTTCTACTTCTGAATGAATGAAGGCTGTATATACTTATACCAGGGGACATAAATTTGGGGGCATTTTCAGAGCACAGCGAATTCTGATGTGTGTCTTTGTGTGCGAGGTGGCTCAGTGTGGGCCATGAGGGAGGGCGGTGGGGGATCCCCGGCAGACAGCACCCTGTGGATTCACTCTTGCTGCTGGGGCTCAACACCCTGTCTGCCCGCAGACTCTGGTTGGAGGGGGTCACAGCAGGCTGCAGGGGACCATCTCCAGGCTTCCTACAGGAACTGCACTGTGGGGAACTCGGGTACCTTCAGGCAGAGTAGGGATTTTGCTAGTAGTCATTATCTTGAGGGTGCTTCTCCGCTGTTCACTTGCCTAAGAACAATCCTTGGTTTAGCTGCATAAAGGGTGGTCTAGCAGCATGGGTGTCACCTGGGGGCTTCTTAGACCGGAGCTTCCTCCCCAGACTTAATCATGCAGAACCAGCAGGTCCCCAGGTGGTTGTGCTGAAGTTGGCCCCCAAAGTCTGCTCAGCCGTCTAGCTCTCAGCCTGGCATTCAGTGACTGCCATGCTGTGGCCTCCCATGTATCTCATGTTGTTACCAGTGCTTCGTGCCAAGAATGGGCCTCTCCATTGCCCTTTCCTGTCATTGTGATAATAATAATTACCATTTATCTGTGGCCTAGCAGTGAGCCAGCCCCTCAGGCTCTCACGTAATCCCTGAGTGGCTGCTGAGCAAACCGGCCTCAGGGAGGTCAAGAACAATCCCCTGAGGCCAGGACTCCACACAGTAATTTTCCAGGAGCCTCCTATTTTCTCTTGTTTCAAGGCTTTGACACCCTGCACTCTCTGACACCAGGGGACATAGTGTTTGCTCCTCTTCCTACTCCCTTCTCAGCCCCTCCCACTGTCTTCTAGGAAACTGTGAATATGATCAAAGGGATTAGAGACAAAGGCCCTGCCAGACGGTGGCCACCTTTGCCTAGAGCCACAGGGAACAGACTAGAGCAAGCGGCTGGGGGTGGGAGGGCTGAGGTGGGCTGAGACTGAGTGAAGTGAGCAAGGCTGAACCCCTCACTGGCTGAGAAGTGACGGCCCTGCCAGCGACAAGGCTGCGGCCACAGTGCTAAGCTTCACTGTGTATCAGAATCACCCGATTCCTGGGTCCCCACCCCAGAGTTCCTGATTCGGTGGGTCAGGGCGGAGCCTGGGCCTCTGCATTCGTACCAGGCTCCCAGGGCACGCTGATGCTACTGCTCTGGGGACCACACTCGGAGAACCGCTGGGCCAGCAGTAACCATGTCTGGCTCAGAGGAATCCAGTTACCATATTTCTTCCCACATTTCCCCCTGGTTACTCTTCACATCTAATTTTTAGCAAGAAGGAAAGCAAAGGATGATTCTTTTTTTTTTTTTAATTTTATTTAGTTATTTTTCAAGTACCCAAAGGATGATTCTTTTACTCTCTGTTGCCAGGGCACCCAGGTCAATAGGAGCAGCCCGCGCCCTTCAAGGGTGCATCAAGTGTGTGGTGACGGCCTCGGGCCCTGTTAAATGTGTTACCTAACACACTCAGGTAGCAATGACCTGTTTTGGGGTTGCCCAGCAGGTTCTTCCGTTTATTTCATTTTACTCTCTAATTGTTTGTTTTGGGGGCAGCGAGTAGATGGGGAGGGAACCTGGTCCGTGTTGTGTTTCCATGATAACGTGTTGGGGTAACTGTTGGCAAGCCCACGGGAGGCCATGTTCTGCCAACTGTCTGGGGGGCAGGTGGCACTGATGGATTAATTGCAGGGACAGCTTCCTTCTCTTTCTCTTTCTCGTACACACTGAGCTAAAGGGAAATGTATGTCGGTTCCTTCTTTGGGTGTTGCTGTTTTTCAAATCCTTCAGGCCTCCTCGCTGGTCTTTGTAATTCCTCTCACCCTGGAAGTGAGGCTCATCGCACCTGCTTTGTCTACTTTACACTCTGTTATGAAGATTCACTGACCAAGGGAATGTGAGCACAGATTAAAAACGGTAGGGAGTTTTATTCACTTCCATGCACACATGCACACATGCGCACACACACTTTTGGCCAGGTTGAGCCCAGACATTTTCTCATTGAACACTGATAGGTCTAATCTAATTGTATGTCAGTGGCACTCAGTGGCTTTTGAAATGTCAGTTGAAAATACTGATGTTAGTTCCCATATTTGTGGCGTATTTGATTCACCATCTGTGACCCCCTAAAAGATAGAAGGAAGGAGGAAAAGTACACCAGGTCATGTACAATTTCAACTGAACTCCCAAGTGTAACAACCTCATGAGCTTTTCTGTTGAAAATAAATCCCAGGGCAGAAGAAACATTTTCTTTAAAGCCCCTGGGTATTTAATGGCAAATACAATTGCTAGCAGTAAGACCTTATACAACGTAGAAGACTTCTATTATATCATTAAGGTCTATGTCCTTAATGGATGATCTTGGATACTGAAAAAAAAATATATATCATCTATGACTGATCTGAGTTAACATATCAGGTACAAAAGGGGAGATTTGGTGCATGTGTAGGCATGGGCTCCAACTCACCACCACAGGAGGCTGGTTTCACATGCACCAAAACGAGCTGGCTTTCAGCTTTGGCTGTTTCATCAGTACTGTTCAAGGTGAGTGGGAAATGGTGCCAGGCAACCTGGTTGCAAGGGGCTGGCTCAGAGCTGAGGGCTTTCCTTGAACTTGCAGCCCTCTGGCACATGCAGAGTGGGGCCAGACCTGACTCTTTTTCCTTGAGTGATCATAGGGTGTCTTCTCTCACCTGTGCAAGGATGGACAGGAAGACCCAGACAAATGGTGATTAAAGATCCCTCCCTGGGCCTTGGGACATTACAACAGGCCCACCTTTTTTGCCTTGGATGAGGAGGGACAAGATGGTGAGGGGGGTGATGGTAGAGATAATGGATAGACAGAGTAACCACTTATATGGTTGTTAATGATATGCCAAGCACTTATATCTATTAATTTTATATCATTTGGTAAAGGCATAAAGGCTGCTGAACCATAGAGAGGTGAAGCAACGTGTCCAAAATCACATCATTAAAAAGCAACAGAGGCAAGCATCGAACTCAGCTTGTCTGGTTCCAATCTCCATGCACACAGCTTCTAGACCACCCTGGCTTCTCCTGATGTATTTACAATAATTCTGGGCAACAGAAGCCTTTCTGACTTGATTGCACTAGTTTTATAGCCCATCCACACAGATCACACACAGCCAAGTCGTTCATCCTGTCTGACCCTCCTGCCAGGCTCCTGTTGGAGACCATCCCAATCGAGGATGTGGGAAATCGGACCGTAGCTCTGCTAAGGGAAAAATGGGGCAGGCTGGCCCTGGTTCTCATGGCCACACTTCATACTTGGGTGAAAAATCCATCCATAGCCACACCTTTGCATGTGAACTAAGGGATCAGAATAATAACATGATGTCAATAGACAATAATGTTGCTGGTGTGGGGTCTGCCCCAGACCCAGTGTCTCGCCGCCCCCAGCAGGTGGGGAGGCAGTGCTTTCTCCTGTTCGGTGTCGGAGGCTTCTTGTTCCTGTCCGAGTCGGCATCTACGGTTCATCGTCATGGTCATCACACACACACTGGTGATTAAATGGGGCACTTCTGTGCCATCGGAGATTTGAGTGGATTGGAGGAAATGAGAAAATTATATGATGCAAGTGCTTTCGGAAACAGTTTCACAGAGTGGCTTTAGGATTATGAAAATTTGCCTGGCTTTTGCAAAAGCGCCTGTTTGCCAATGACTCTTCTCAGCTCAAGTGTGGATTTGAAACACAAGTTAAACCCCCAGCTGCTATTCCTGACTCGAGTCATGGTCTTAGGGTAAAAAATGATAACAAAGTTCCTTTTGGGGAGTAAGTTACCTACCCATTTCAGATAAATGAACACTTGTAGCTTTTATGACAACATGTTTCAATCCCTAATGACATATTACTATTATTATTAACATAACAGGCCTCCGTGAATTCTATTTTGGAACAAGACGGGCCATCATTACATGGAAATAAATAAAGCAGTATGCATAGCAGTGTTGCAAACAAAAACAGGGTGTCAGCTACACAGGAGACAAATCCTAAAGTGTCGAAGCCCACTCAGGACATGGATACCATTTAGCAAAGCTGTCTTTAATAAAGGCTTCCCAATGTCCTTGCAGAAATAACTCACAAAGAAAGAGTGAAAATGTCATCCCGAGCATAAACACTCAGTTGAGGCCATCCTTCTGCAAGGAGTGTTTGTAAATATGTACTTGTAACCTGGCTGAGACACAGGGCTTAAGTGTACTGCTGCTGAGGATGGGCTGGTGGAACTGCATGTTCTGTTTAATGAATATTTCTTGACTTCTGTTCTGGTTATCTATTGCTGTGTAACAAACTACCCCACAACTTAGTGGCTTAAAGACAACAATTTTTTGCTCTCTCTTGAAGTTCTGGGGGTTTATGGTCTCAGTGGGATGGTTCTCACTTGGGGTCCTTCATGTGGTTATTGTCACAGGGACCAAAAGCTAGTGTCATCTGACAGCTTCTGCACGCACATTCTGGTGCCTCTGCACGTGGCCTCTTCACATGGCTCACTTGGTCTCCCTCACAGCGTGGTGTTTACCAAGTAGTTGGACTTTTTTTTTCTTACATGGCAGTTAGTTTCCCTCAAAGGGACTAGGCGGCTTCCCCCTCCAAGATAACCAAACAGAAACTACAAGCCTTCTTATGACTCAGTCTGAGCAGTGACTCTGCCCACATCCATTGGTATCATAGCCCAGATTCAAGGTGAGAGAGCAACAGACTCTCCCTTTCCATAGGAGAGAATGGGCTGTGTATATGAGGAGGAAGGAATCCAATGGCAGCTGACTCAGAGAAAAGTGACCACGAATTTCAGCCACACATGGGACAGACCCTGGGGACAGCGCTCAATGGGGCATGGCTGTTTGCCTGAGGAGAGGCAGGGCTGACCCCAAGCACAGAAGCTCACTGTTGAGACAGGTGGGGCACTGGAAGCATTCTGATCTCTCCCAGCAGCCCTCTAAGTAAAACATGGCCCGAAGAACTAGTTATTTGTATTTGGATCAGAGGGCAATTTTTTGAATGGATTGAGCATCTACAAAAGATGCATTTCCTGTCATCTCCCCACGGGACACAGGTTGGTGGGTAAAACAGTCGTTCTGCAAATGTTACCCTCCTGAGGAAAACTCTCTCATGCCCTGATAACCTCATGACCCTGGCAAAAAAATAATGCAAATCATCTTGTGCCACATCTTCTCTGGCTCTTTCCACAGACGATCAGACTGATGAAAACTGTTAGGAGACTTTGAGTGAAAGGTGCAGACCTCGCTGGTTTCAATGACCAGAAATGGTGTTATCTTTACTGAAGAGACCATGAGGCATGAGGAGGTCTGATTATATTTTGCCTTGTAGAGCTGGTTTCTGAGCTTTCAGAAGCAGCTCAGATACTATCTCTCCAAACAGACCCTTTCCGACCAACCTGTTTAAAGAAGTGAAGTCTCTCCTACTTCGACTCTCAATCTGTCTATCCCAACCTCATGGTTATTTTCCTCATTGCACTTGCCATGACCTGCTTTTATCTGGTTCCTTTAACCTTTACTGTCTGTCTCCCTCCATTGGAACATGGCTGAGTTTTTCCGCCTGCTGGCACATAGTAGCTGCTCAATAAATATTTTCTTACTAAAGAAACGGATCTTTCAGTCTGGAAAAAAGCACCTAGGTGACCACTGAATTGGTTGGTTATACTAGTATCCATTCTCTTTTGAGAAGTGTAGGGTTTCTTAGCAGAAGTCCAGGAGGTACCCCAAACCTTCCACCGAACTTGGAATTCAGCTTGGTCACTGCCCTGAAATCAGACGGCAGTGCCAGGCCTAGAAGTGGTTTCCACAGTGTCCATTTCTGGCTAATCCAATTGGGGAGAGGACAGGTTTAGGCTTGGAGTTAGGCAGGATTCTATCTTGCTGTGTCCCAAATACACTGGGTTAGAATCGACCATCTATCCACAGTCAGCATTTTCTAAGTGTCTGGCAGATATACCAGGGCGAGGCTGAGGATGAAAGATCGGGGCACTAAGGGGCTACCCCTCCGAAGACACATCTTTCAAAGGCTCAGGGTTTGTGTGGGTGGCCTCATGGCCTCGTGCAGGGGATTAGAGGATGGATCCTGGATCTGGGCCGCATCCATCACCACAACTCACTTGCTGCGGGAGCTCAGGTAAGTTTCCTTAACTTCTCTGCCTCAGTTCCTTTTTCTGCAAAGCGAGGATATTAAGTACATCTATGTACAGGGTTGGAATAGGGAGTTAATGTATGGAAGCACCTAGAACAGTACCTGGAGTTTGCTAAGGGCCATGGAGCATGTATGCCAACATTGTTGGTGGAAGCCACTAATAAAGTGTTAGAACCTGCTCATTACAACAATGAAAGTAATTGTCTGGGGGCAGGTGGATTATGGGTAAGCTTTTTCTCCAAAAGATTTTCTTTAAGGGTGTTGTGTTGTACTGTTTTCACCACACGCATGCACACACACACACACACACACACACACCCCATTTATAATAGCCTACTGGTGAATTTGAGGTACAAGGACAATCATACCATGGTGTCTTCTTGTTTGGATGTGGAGGATACTCTAATGTACCCTGGAGGTACGAATAAACCCACAGAATGTCTGATGGTGAGGCTCGGTGAGATACTCATAAAGGGCTCATATCATAAACAAAGAGCAGGGTCAGTCTCTGTGATAGTCAAACAGCAGCTGGTGGTGATGGTGGCTGGGGGTGGGGTGGCGGTCCATCTGTTACCTGGACTCGGAACCAGAAGACTTGAGTTGGCTTTTGGGCCTGGCTCAGCCATTTGCTAGTGATGTGATATTGGGTGAGCTACTTAAGGCCTCAGGCTTGGTTTGCATACCTGTAAAATGGGGATAGTAATTCTAGCCTCAAAGCACTGTGAACTTCAAAGGGGAAATGAGTGAGAAGGACTTTCACAATGGCAAGTTTTAACAAAAATATCAAACATCAATATTCCAGGGTCTTGACAGGCCTGTTTTCTCTACAAGCCCTCTTTCTACCCCCATCCTTACTCCTTCTTCCTATTGTCTTCCTGGCCTTGAGATAATTTATTTTAAGCTAAGTGTTTTGAGTTCTACTGACATAAAAGTGCATTTGAGATAAGGGACACTTCGTTCTAGGGAATACTTTGGAACGAGTTGAGTGTAAACAACTGAGGGAGGACATGAGTATAAAAAGGGAAGGATGGCAGGTCAAATTTTTACTAATTAACCCATGGCTGGCCTTACTAACAGCACAAGCAAACAGATAATGTGGCCTTAGGAACCTCTCTAGAATTACGTGACCCAAAATGATAGCTGATCGGCGTGACCTTTGTTCTCACACAGGCCTGGATTCAAATTCTGGCTCTGCTGTCACCTGACTTCCCAAGGCTGCAGTGTCCCTATCAGTAACCTGGGCTGGCAACCTCAGGGCCCAGGGCTGTGGGGACTGAGCGAGCTGAGGGAGGGCGCGCCAGCACACAGCCAAACACCAGCTGTGCCGGGAGCCTCACCAGGAATTTCCGTTTCTGCTTCCAGTGGCTGCCTTGGGCGTTGGTGGCCACGTGGGCTTCAGTGACGGTCTTGATGAGCTCCCACTCCTCGTCGGTGGGCTCCGGCTTGTGCCCAATGGATTTCTGCAGCTCCTCCCGCCGTCTCTTCTCCCGGTTCTCCTCAATCAGCTTCCGCTTTGCCAGCCGCTTGCTGTCGTCCAGTACCACTGGGAGAGGGAGAGAGAGAGATGTAAAACCTATAGACTCTGCCAGACACGGGACGGTCTGCATGTCCCTGGACCACTGATGTGGCTCGGTGGGGCCGTCAGGGTGGGTCACGCTGAGGTGTTTTCTCCTTTGGCAGCCAATTGACTGCCTAGTCATTGTCCAACATGTACCAAACTCCCGGCATCTAGCCAGCTTTTCAAAACACAGCCCTGGGGGAAGCTGGCCACTGGGCATACCAATTCCACAGAAGGTGGCCCTAAATGCCAATGAAGCAGAGAGAAGTCAAACCTACCCATTATGTTAGGATCCGGATGAGTCTGTCTAGCCAACCATCTGAATTTACTCTTAATGGTCCCTGTAATGCCCCTCCTCTCTCCAACAGGCTCTTCCTTACTAAGAGGACTTCCTTACTAATAGAATTTGGTTAAAGTTCTGTGGCGGTCAGTGGGAAACTGATGATTCTTCCCTCCATCTCTTAAGGAATAATTGGAATGTGGCTGGACATATCTTTCATTTCACAGGTACTCACTTAGCATTACTCTCTAACCTGGTCATCCCTTGCTGGTGGTAAAAGAGCCCAGGCTTTGTAATCTAGAAGGATCTGGGTTTGAATGCTGACACCACCACATTCTAGCTGTGTGACCTCTGGCAAGTTACTTAGGCTTTCTGAGCTTAAATTTCTTCCCATATAAAATGGGATCAATAATACCCACTTCACAGGGTAATCAATGTGACAATACACCAAATGTTCTCAAGAAATATAGCCACGATTTTTATCATTTATGCAGAAGGAAAATACGAGAGGCAGGGAACACGAGACCTATACTTCTGTGGTTAATTTCCCAAACAAAACCATTTTGTCAGACTCTTCGTAACTATCATTGGAATGGAAAGGCTGACGTTTTACACTGCAGAGCCATAGTCTTTTAGGACCAGAAGGGACCCTACATATTATCTAGTCCAACTCCCTTCTGTCATGGAGGAGGAAGCTGATCCAGAGAAATGATGACTTGCCTAAAGTCACACAGCAAGTTCAAGGCAGAGCCAAGGCCAGACCCAGGACTCCTGACTCCAGTCCTACAACATCATTGTCCTAGGGCCATTGCTTGATGAAGGTGTGACCTGGTAGGAAAAGAAAAAGCAAACATAGCAGGGGGAACCATAGATGCTCAGCTAGTCCACAAACAGCTCAATGAAAAACCCCGGATCACCTCGGTTTGAATGGGTTGCCGAAGTCAGGTGAGCACTGATAAGTGTGGGGAATATGAATGAGCCCTGCTTGCTTATTTTAGTTCCCTCATTAAAGGGAGAAGAGGGAGGGGGCTTTACCCATAACCCCATTCACCAAAGCATCTGCTGTGTCAGGAGAACTGCCTCTGACGTGCATTATCCAATTCGATCCCGAGAAACAGCCTGCAAAGGAGGCGGCCATTCCTCGCAGGGAAACCGGAGACCGGGCTGCCGGTCACACAGCTGGCAAGTGGCAGGTCTGGGACTCCAGTGGCTTTTCTGATTCTAAAGCCCGAGCTCTTACAACATCTCACAAGCAAATAATGAATTCAAATGAATTCAAACTTCAGATGAACACTGAGCTTCTTTAACCTTATAAACAGTCATATCTTTAAGTTCTCCATAAAACAATGAAATGGATCCTTAATAATAACAGTTCATTACAGTGACACATCTAAGTACTTGGCTTTTGGTCCATCATCTCACGTACCCTAATGAGGTGTATTGTTGGCGGTGGCTAAAAGTCTTTAAAAGATAAGACAAAGAACACACTTAGTCAGAGGTGGGATTAACTCAGGATTTTCAGACTAACACCCTAACCCAACCCTCCTCTTTTTTAAGACTCCCCATTCTGTCTTCTTTAGTGGGCAAACCAGGGCATTGCAAGATATTTTTGTTCTACCTGAGAGAACCCTGTTAGTCACATAAACATCTGCCATGATTATTTCCTCTTTCACAAGACAAAAAATTCTTAATGCATTCCTTTCTTCTTTGTTTCTGGTCTTTCTTTTTATTCTCCCGAACTTTTTTTAAAGAAAAAACCTTAAGGTTGGCATCCTTAATTGATGTACGAAAAGTTTATGCCTGGAGAGGTCATTAGCCCTGATGCCTGGCAAAAGGGAGGCCCCAGTTCAGAATGACACAATTGTCATTTTATTGTCAGATTAATTAAAGTGGCTGGTGCAAATCCCTTCCACGGTGTGGGGAGAAGAGACCGGACGGCAGCTAATCTCACCACCATATGCTGTGGCACTTAGAAAACTGGGTAGGATGACTTCAGCTTGGAATGTTTTCCCAGCTAAAAATATACCAACCAACCAATGGCAGGGTGACTCATGTAATAGCTCAGCTTCACATTCTTCAGAAATTTCTGATCATGATGTTTTCTGCCAGTGCCCATCTCCAAAAATGGCCCAAAAGTAAATTCCCATCTCTGCTTTTGAAAAAATAGTAGGACTTGTCCATGATGCTTTTGCCATGTCAATATTGCCTGTAAAAGTAAACCTTACTGAGGCAATCGGACAAGACCTCTCATTTGTAATCTCTGTTGCAGATGGAGCATTGCTAACAGTCTCACAAGCACAATGGGATCATTTAACCACTTTCCCTCACCCATCCTTCAGTTGGGAGCTGATAAGGGAGAGGCAGGGTGGCGACCACCCAGCAATGACTGTGGGAATGCCAGGTGCCTTCCTTCTGGCCACATGCGTTCATGCCTGCTTTTCTGCCTGGCTGATCTCCTTGAATCCAACCTTTCCCCAATCAACACCCCTTGACTGTAAAGCAAAGGAAGAAGGTTACTTACAATCTGTTGCCATGCCAACGTAGATGCATTTTTTAAAGCGACATTCCTGGCACTGATTTCGTGTGACTTTGTCTATGACACATTTTCCTTCATATTTACAGGAATAGGATGGATGGAGATTTTTCTGAATGGTTCTTCTAAAGAAACCCTACACAAAAAAGAAAGACCCAAGACAACAGTTTCATGTTTTCTAGAAATGCATGACTTCAGAATGTGTCCACATAGCTGTGGTGGATTGTTTTGGATCTTACCTGTGTATGGGCCTGTTGCTGTACTTATTCAAAGACAGGGCAATTGGATCAAAGTGAATATAATGAATTCTGAATCTGAGCTAAAGAAGATGTCACAGGACTACAGAGTTACTGTCCTTTTGGCATTTATTCAAAGAAAAGAGGCTAATGGAAAGATCTTGTGTTTGCTTTTATTGTTTTAAACACTGAGTAATAAAAAGAAATATTATTTCATTTCATAGAGTGCTATAATTGTGCTGCTAAATTGAACTGTGAAGAGATTTGCTGTACTTTATACTAGAGAATAAATGAGCTGGATACTTGCAGCACTTTGTCATCATAATTTCATCATTTAGTAATTAAATGAATATAACCGCCTCTAGAGATTTAGTTTAATTCTTGTTTTTGAACTTTGAGATGGTCATGACCAGCTTAGAGAGTCTTTGAAACAACAGTGCTTGGGGAATAGACCATTTCAGGTTCTCTGCCAAGTTCTTCCCATAGCTCATGCATTGGGGTCTTTCAGCCCACGCTTTTTCTCCAATGTTCATTGGCAAACGCTTAAAGTGCAACATGTCTTGTCCTTTCTTAAGGCATGGAGAATGCCACTGTCAAGTTTTCTGAGGATACCATTTCCTTCCAGGGTTAGGTGGCTTATATAACTCTCTCAAGGGTGTATTATACGAGAACCTTTCTGGACATGGCACTTTAGTCTTGGCTTACTTTGGTATTGCGGGAATTAATAACGGCAGAGAGCACTTCTTGTGAGGGGCACATTGCGAAGCGCTGCAGACACTTGTCTTCTATCTCTTCTACAACCTTATGAAGTTGATACGCAATATCTCCATTGTGGGGTTAAAACAACAAAGCCACAGACAGGTTAAATCACTCGTCCAAAGTCACATTGTGAGTACACGCTGGACCCCAGGAATTGGACTCCAAATCTTATTTACGTAATTACCTACATGATATAAATATAAACTGAATCCAATTTTACTGTATTATTTAAGTGTTTTAGATGAGCAGATTATAAATAGTCCCCTCTAACTCATTTCTCAAAAACAAAAACAAAAACCAAACACCAACAAACCCTTCATTTTAGCAGAGCAGCAAGGCAAAGCACCTTTTAAAATATGTTGTCCACTAAAGCTTAAATGAGACTTCCAACTTAGTTATATAAATTACAGGACTGAAATACCAAGGAGACCTGGATGAAGCCCAGATGTTAATTAATCTGTTTAACTTTTCTTGGCTTTGGTTACGTACACACACTGCTTGCATATTTCTCACTCAGACATAAGAGTTCTTCCTTATGAAGAGAAGGTCAGAGGTAGGGTTTTATACTGGGCAAAGAGGAATAAAACGAAATAATGAGAGCAATAACTGCAATGAATGGACTTGATTTGGGGCATGTGTGTTCAAGTTCTAACAGAAAAACCAACATATTGTATTTGGGTTTTGGATTCTCACCCACTTGAGTCCATTAGTTCGAATGACCTTGATGCACTGTTATAAGATTCGCTAAATCACATGCCATGCCGCTGTTTGGCAGCTTGGCGGGGTTTCCCTGGATGTGCAAGGTGGGCAAATCTGGCTAAAGCAGGGTTCTGCTTTAAATCCTGAATGTCAGGGCATGGCACAGAGTGAAAAATGAGCTTCCTGTGCCCCCCATCCCATCCTTGATCTCTGTTACCCTCTGTCCATTCACCCTTCAGGGGTTACTCTTGCCTGGAGGGAAAAGAAACCAGGAGACTCCAGGCGAGGAGACAGAGGTCGGAGACAGGAAGGAGCGGGGCTGGGTAGCGCTCCTCCTTCTGGAGGAGGCAAAGTCGCCCTAGAGGTGGGGATACCCACATCCAGGGCAGCCACTGAGAATGTGGACATGCTGCCGTGAGCACAGGACGGGTGATGCTCTGTCCAAAGTTGGGGAGGCCCTTTCTCACCCAAACTCTGATGCTGACTCATGTTCTGGTAGGTGGGGCGAGTACTGAAGAGTCAGACAACACTAAGGAGAAATGAGGTGTGATGAGATGTGTGATGTACCAGACACAAGAGTAACACTGATTTTTCCAAAAACGCTACTCTGAATGTTTAAATGAAATAAGCACAATAATTTACACCTTGCTTGTTTTGAACAATGTGTTGCGATGGCAGGCTCCGCTAGTCATTGTGTCGTCTTCTCTGTGGCTTTTATCTCTGGTGACTTTTCCTGGGCACTTCATAGATCAAATCCCTTTTAAGATGTTGACTTCCTCTAAGCTATAATAAAAATATCTTGACACAAGGTGAGGGACCACTTCATTTGAGTAAATGTAAAAGATGCTAGGTTTCTTAACTTTAAAAAGGGACAAAATGAAGTCCCAGAAGTGAATGAACTAGGTTGGAAAATATTTAAATAGTCTAATTATAAAAAAATCTTTTTGAGTTGAGCTGACAAAAGAAATGTCCCAGCGACTGAATAGCAACATATATTTCATCGAAGATTTGTTGGTGAGTGAAGGTTTGGCTTTTTATAAATCAACACCAGGTGTGCTTCCCTGCATATCAGGATGACCTGGATCCACTTCTTAGTGGTCTGAGCTGATGCTAAGTGTCCACCCTCCTAGTTCAATATTTGGGCAGCTATTAAGAAAGCTTTTAGTCTTGCTTTAAAACAAGACATACTTTGGGGCATTATCAACATTTTCTACAAAAAGTGCATAAAAACTGGCCCATCAAAGCAAACAAAATACCTCCAGAAGATTCCCACTTGTCTTCAGGGCAAAAAAGATTCTCCTTAAACACGTTGCAAATATGGGGTAGAAATATTTTTTAATGACAAATCTGAATAAGTGATATGCAAGGTACAAATTTTAAAAAAATCTCTGGCCACACTTAAACACTGGGTTTCATTGGAAAAACTCTTGTTTTTTTTCCAGGATACTTTGTCATCACATTAAATAATTTGCCTAACCACCCGAGGAAGGCTTCTTTCTGATTTTAGAAATGAGGCAATCCCAGAAACAGAGTTCTGATCTGAGATAAAAACAGGACCTGGGAAATCTAGCTTTATGCTACATGTTTTTTTTTCTCTTAAGTAAACCTCAGTGGAATCAGGCCCCAAATATCCTGTAATTTGGGGGAAAACGGCTAGTGGATTTCTTGATCATCCTGAAGGTGTAGTGAGGCAGAACCACAGGCTAATATGCTTGATTCTCCCTTCATTTAAGTCAGTTGCTAAATGAACTTTAAGTCCTCTCGGTAGGGCACATTCAGTCTTTAGAGTCATTTTGGGAGTTGATTATTGAATGTAATTTTCATTAGGTTCTCTCCCAGAATTCAAAATTCACCATTTGAAATTGATTTGAAAGAATCTCAATGCTGTATAATTAGGTTGGTAGAGCCTTATGAATTGGGGCTAATTTAGAAAAAAGGTCCATGTGAATTACTGAGCTCTCAAAATAAGAGACTGTATCTAAAGCAGGGCAGTTTCATTATTTTCAAATCAAGTTAATAAAATTGTGCCTTCAAGAGAACATCTGCAAGTCCTCCAGTTAGTAACTAGCCAGGACTTATTTGTAGTTAGTTCCATTAAACTCCTTAAGACATTATTTTCATAGATGAAGCAAGAACCCTTAGCCCAGTCTTTGTGAAAACATTACAAATTCCAGATCAGAGGGGTCTGGATGGACAAGAACACATTTCATCACATTCCAAGTTATATATCTATGGGCTTGGGACCTTAGAAATAACATCTTTCCAATGGATTTAGCAGGTTTTTAGCAGGTTTCTGCTAAGTGTTTCCTAATTCCAGACACAAAAAGTAGGGAATTTGCATGGAAAATAATTCCACTGGGAAAATGGGGCATCTCAGCTTGAAACTGAGCTAACACTGATTTGGGGGGCTTAGGGTCAAAGATTAGGAGGAAAGGGGGTAGCTGGAAGAAGGGAAGGAGAGGAGAGGAGATTGGGTGGGTGAAGGAGGGGGGAAGACTGAATTGTTTCATAACTTTGAATACAACTTTTGTTTTAGAATTTACACCTTGTGATAATTTTGTTTTAAAGGTAAAAGGTAAAGGAAACATTTAACAAGAAAACATGTAAAAAGCCTTTCACTGACTTAACAGACTTCCTCATTTGCAAAACATTAGTTGAATGTTGGCTCCAGTCCTGGGTTAAGCTTTATTTATCTTTCTAGTAGACTTTTTTTTCTTGGCTAGGTTGTCGGACCAAAGGATGTTGGTCAGAAAGCTCATCTTAATTTTTTTTTTAAATACATTTTTTTATTTTTATTTTTATTTATTTTTTTTAAATTAAATTTTATTTAGTTACTTTTCAAGTACATTTTTTTTTTAAATCTATTTCTCCCATCCCACCCCCCCCCCGCCCGGTCTCCCCCCCCCCACAGTCCTCATCTCTGTGTCTTTCATATTTGTTCCTCAAAATCCCTCCCCCTTTTTCCCCTTAAGTTCCCTTCCCTCTCCCCTCTGGTCGCTGCCAAAGCATTATGCTGAGTGAAATAGGCCAGGCATTGAAGGACAAATACCATTTGACAGGAAGCTAAAGAATAAAACAAACAAGCAAACAGAATAAAAACAAAAACAAAGCTCATCTTAATTTTGACGACAAGTTGGAAGTAGGCAAATTTGGGCTCCCTTTCGGAAAGTGAACTGACTGTTGATTTCTGGTGCATTCTTGTTAAGTATTTCTTGAAGATGGCCCACAAAGCATGACATTAGCTGATGGATGACCAGAATTTACTTATTGACTGCAGGCTGTGCAGAAAGCCGATTTGGGCAATTTCTGGACATAAGAGAATTTGAGTAATCTCAAAGATATTCCCTAATGGAGACCTTAAAAGCAAGCAGAGTCACTCAGATTAATAGCGGCAAACAGCCTGCGGTACAGCAAGCTGTCTCCCTGAAACACTGGAGATAGACCAGCAAGAGAAATGATAATTTCTTGGGAGGGTAACATGGTGTATGTTTGCATTTTAAAATGCAAAGTGAGAATTTTGTTTATTTCTTCTTATTTTATTATCTCCCTGTCAGAAAAACCAGACATGACACTTTCCCCGAAATTCATTTAGTTACTTTTGATTTGGGGGAAAAAATTTAGTTCTTGAACATGGCAAAAAACGAAGAGGACTACCAGACACCCACTAATGTTGGGATTTGGTTCTAGTCCCCGCATCCTGGTCTGGGGAGGAGAGTCTTGGGTTGGGGGCAGGAGGCCGGAGCTGGGCTGAGCCCGGGGCATTTACCTTGCAGCCTTCACAGGTGATGCAGCGGTAGTGGTACCCAGTGGCTTTGTCACCACACACCACACAGAGCTCGTCCTTGTCTAGGTAACTGGGGATGTACCCTGTGAAGGAGGAAGAAAGAGGAATGTGAGAAAACAATATCATGTTCAAGTCAAAACCGCCAGCCAGCGGGGTGGACGAGGAGAGGACAGGAGGCGAGATGGGGGACAGAGGAGGCCAGACAATTATTTTACACATTTTAATACAATTTTTGCTTTAGGCTCTATACCTCCTGATCATTGAGTTTTAAATAGAAAAGGTAAATAATACATTTAACAAGAAAACACTTAAGAAGGCTTTCCCTGACTTATGTCCCCAGTATCTTCTCTGGCATTTCATCTCACACTTACAGAGCTAATGTGAGGCCGGGACTGAGGATCGCCGCAGGGTCATGCACAGAGGCCAGGCTGTGAGGCCCCTGGGGAGTTCTGGGTTCTGGGTAACGCGATCTCTTCCCTAGAGCTTATTAGAGTCTCTTCTTAGAAGACTTGATCCACTTCGAAATCGAGGCACTGTGCAAATAAACTCGGAATACTTTATAGCTGGAAAGGCCCTGGGAAGTGACCAAGTACTGTCGAGGCGAACAGGCCTTCAGAAGTTTGCCTTTTTCAGGGTCACCCCAGAAATTAACAGCAGAGACTAAATCTAGGTCGCCTAACTCCTAGTCCTTCAATATAAGTTAAGCTGGTCTTTTTCTAAATATAGACAGTTCTCTTTAAGTAGGATGAATAAGGCCATCTAGAAATAAATTTGGTAAACTTGGGATATTATGATACGCAATGCAACAACATTGGGTAACGTAAAATAATAGGGGTTCTCTTTTTTAAGAATGAAAATCCAACCATGAAAAATCCGTAGATACGGAATTAATAGTGTGTTATTAGTTTATATTCCTTGACTCAGGAAACTAAAGTTTCAAAACAGACACAAAAGAGGTCTACTTCCCAGCTGCCTTTGCCTCTTTCTTTTCACTTGTAAATGATGCTGAAACAAGAAACGGATTCAGAAGGGAAAATTCAGTTTCAGGTATATCAACAGTTCACCATAAAAGCACATAGTTTTAATAAGACCAAAAAAAAATCAAAACAAGGTCTGATTTGTTGGGACATGGAGAAGGGAGAAGCTGAGAAAACGAAATCATTCTTACTCCTGATCATGGTCCCTCATGAAGTTCTTTGACTCGTGAACCCTTACTGGTTTCACTAAAGATTAGCCAGGTTGAAACACTCTGGATTTTACCAGGTCTTCTGTTAAACTAGGTCACTGAGGGCAGACTTTTCAGAACAAAGCCATAAAGGAAACACAACAAAATTACACCTTTTCCCCACTTCTTGAGAATAGTATGGGAAATGGAGAAACCAAAGAACTTGGACATATGACCCATGGACATGAACAAAGGGGGAGGGGAGGAGAGAGGGTACAGGGCAGAGGAGAAAAATATGGGACAATCGTAATAGCATAATCAATAAAATATATTTTAAAAAAGTAATTACTTTGCTCAGACTTTATTTTTATAAAAATGTCCCTTCTTGAGAGAGAGAGATAAGTGATTTCCAAGTGAGATTTGGTCACGTGTGGGATTATCTTTTGAAATACCACAGCCTTTCTGGGTTTACTTCTTCATTGTGGAAACCATGAGGCATCTGTTGAGTTCATTTCGGGGTTTTGAAACTCTCATTTGACATTTTAATAAAGAGCTCTGAGAAGGATCAGGGCAGGAATGAAAAGGAGAGTGGAAGATCTGTGTGTTTAACAAAAAATTCATCCATAAATTCAGGACATTCATTTAGCATTGACTTCGTGCTTAGCACTGTGCTAGGTCCTGAGAATATAAAGACAAATAAGATGTGTTTCTTCCTTCGGGAAAAATACTGGGTGGAGTGAAAGTAGGTTTACAGTGTTTGCATGGAAAATAATGTAACAATGAATAACTAATAATGTAAGAATAAACTCTGTATTTTACATACCCACAAAAGTAAACCTACTTTTGCCCTGCCCTGTATGAATAAGCAACTGAGTCCTGTATTTCCAACCATGGTCATTTCTCAATGAGAGAAAAAAGGTGAAAATGAAGGAAAGAATATGAAATGACGCTAAAAAACACTGCAAGGAAATTTGAGCCCAAAACACAACGAAATACCAGTTCTTCTAGGATGGTTACAGTGAAAATGACAGAAAATAAGAAGTGTTGGTGAGGCTATAGAAATACCAGAACTCTCAGAACTTGTTAGGAGAAATGTAAAGTGTGCTTTGGAAAAACAGTTTGGCAGTTCCTCAAGATGTTGAACACAAAGTCACAGATGACCCAGCAATTCTACTCCTAAGTGGGATGCCTGAGAACTGAAAACCTATGTCCGCACAAAAACTTGTACGTGAGTACCCGTAGCAGCATTATTCATGATATCTAAAAGGTGGACATGACTCAAGTGTCCATCCAATGGTGAATGGACAAAGAAAAGGTGGTGTAGCCACATAATGAAACATTATTCAGCCATAAATGGAATGAGGTACTGTTACATGGACAGAACAGATGAACCTTGAAAACTGTATGCTGAATGAAAGAAGCTAGACCTGGAAGCTAGACATATCTTCCAATTTCACTTACAGGAAATGTCTAGAATAGGAACACCCATAGGTACAGAAACTAGATGAGTGGTGGCCAAGGTCTGGAGGGAGGGAGGAAAGGGAAGTGACTGCTAAAGACCACAAAGTTTCTTTCTAGGGTAAAGACGATGTTCTGGTGTTGTGTAGTGTTGGTGGTGGCTACACAACTCTGTGCATGCACTGAGTACCATTGAATGAAAATCACAATTTTGTATGGACATATTTTGTACCCTTTAGGTGTGTGAATTTTATGGGATGTGAAATATGTCTCAATAAAGCTGTTATTCAAAAACAAGAAAATGAAGGAAATAAAAGAGGACGGTTCCATTTGATAGACATTTATATAGGTAATACTACAAGCTAGGCAATGTGCCAAGGACCTAAAGAATTCTAAAGAATTCTTGGTGACACTTTCAGTGGAGTGGGAAAAACAGACAACAAGAGATCACCTGCATGTAATGTGCTAGGTGCTGGCATAGGGTTATGTCCAGAGTCACAAGGGGAAACCTTAGGGAAGCCTTCCTGCCCACCCCTCAGTTCAAGTCCAGGTCGGGTGCTCCCCTACCTCCTTGTGCTTCCCAAGAGCAGCTCCTTACTATCTGCACTGTAACTACTGCAAACTCTTCCTTTCCTTAGACTGGAATCTCTGACTCACAACAGATTTGTATAATTCCAGCTAGAGGGCAGGAATCCTGTCCTTCATGCTCAAACTCGGGTGTCCAGCACTTGCTTCCTTTGATGACTGCATCACAGTTTTTCAACATGGCCGCTATCCACCAAGGGCAAAGAATGAATGGAGGGGGTCTCTCTGGAACCTACAAATGCAAAGGACTAAAGATCTCAGCGAGGGTATTTGAAAGAGGTGATAATGCAAATACAGGTCCAAACTTCTGACCTAATGAAAACTGCATGAGAAAGTTTGGTTTTTGGTCAAGAAACCAAGATGCCATTTTGATTAAGATTAAGATATCTAGATTCAAGTGCTTCCAAGAGCTAGCACTCTGGGGAGATGCATGGTCACTAATCAACTAGATCTGATCCTGCTTTTTTGTTTTTTGACTTTTCTCTGGTCACCAGGTTTAAGACAGTGAGACAGGACCAAGGAGAGCTTAAATGCAGCACCATTTCCCCACATGAGAATCCCCATGTCCAGGCCAGCTGGATTAAGATGCCATCACCCAAAGCCAGAATTTTATACAACTGGCTTGTCTTTCCACTTTCGGCTCTATAAACCACTATTCATTCCACCCAAAAGAGTCTCTGCTTGCTGGTTAGATTTCCCCTTCACATGATTGTAAGCCCCAAGTCCCAAGGTTGTTTACCACTGTCTGTGAGGTAATAGGTGGTACTAGGGCTCACATTTCATAAGAAACACCAAGAAAATCTACAGGAAAACTCATCAGACATCGATTCATTCCAAACACAATTTTGCAGGGTTCATCCATACCAAGGAGCATCATAAAAATTCCACTAAGGCTCTGTGTCCAGAGAACTAGTTAATTATCGTTTGTGTAGAATTGGGGGCAGGTTATAATGAAAATGGTCAGAGATGCTCTGGATTTAACTTTATCAATGGACTTTAGTGGTCAGCCTCTATGCATCAAAAACCATGTGTGTATGAGTTCCTTACCGCATCCAGATTTTTTAAATAAAAAGCTATGTAAGTAATACAGTGCATTGTAGACAAATTAAAAGACATAAATTAGCAAAGCACCAATTTACCTATTAGATCTCCACAGGATAACCACTGTAGCATTTTGATTTTTTTTTCATTTTAGTAATCTAGTGTGTGTGTATGTGAGTGTGACATGTAGGTGCTTGTGTGTGCATTGAAACACATACTTATAACACACAAAGTAGCTTTAAACCTCAAAGTAACCCAGTGATTTAAACACTGCAGCTTCCTGGTAAAGGCAGATGGAATAGACATACCAATGTCAGGAAAGCTACCTGTTATACAGAGGGGTTATGTACAGTTGGTCAGAGTGAAGACTTGGAGTTCTTGGTATCAAGTGCAGATGGCAGAGATAAGGGAGAAAGAGACACAGGTCATTTCCTTCTAATATCACGTTCAGGAACAAATGATAATACAGGTGGACAGTGTGTTGCTTGTGCGAAATGCTGTGGGAGGGCTGGAGAATGTCAACCAGAGTTAGGAAGATGCAGGTCCCTCACCATCTCTCACTCTACCTGCTTCATCTTTGGTGTTGGCAGCACAACACTGGATTCCTTCTCCCTACAGCTTGACAGTTTACGTAGGCGGTTGAACTGCCTGACCTTTAAGGTTCTTGTGAACCTGGAATCCCATGATAATTCAATCTGTAAGTGGAAATGGCTTCTTTGTTTTTGGAATGCTAGTCTGTTGGATGCTTTGCTTTGCTCTCTTATTTTTCCTAGATTATCTTGGTGGGTGGATGAATAGGTGATTAAACAGCTCTTTAGTTAAATAATCAAACTT